AACGGTTATCAGAGAAAAATAATTCTTTATTTTTGAATTTGGAAATTTTATTTTCAATTTCAAAGTTTAATGAGAAATACTGATGCAAACATTTTTAAATGCATATTCTTTTAGCAATTTCTTCAATATATTTTCTTCAATTTTTTAAAAAAATTTTCTATTTCTCTTTTATTGTAATTTTTCATAACTTCATGAAAATAACTTCAGTATTAATTATATAATGAATTATTGGTGGATACAAACCGATTGCAGGTTTAAAAAATCATGTGATTTAAATAAAAGTCATAATTCCCGGAACCCTAGAGTTCCGGGAACGCAATTTAGGAACCACTGCTCCAGATTGTCTCATTGCTAGTTCGTAAAGCACTATTTTCAGAAAACAATATTAACGTTATGCCAAACCAATTATTAACAGTATACTTTTTTGGAAAGTAGAAGCATGAGTAATCGTTAATTAATTTTATTAGAAGCGGAGTTACAAATTCGAAAAATATTTAATGGATCTCACATAGTGATTTAGAAACTTTGTTACAGTCAAACTAAATCACTGGTTATAAATACCATAATATTTTTTTTCTTCTGAACTAGAACTTGAGAATTCGTATTTATTGAAAATAGAATAAAGATGCCAGAAAAATACTTATTTCTATACAAATCAAGGTTGAAAATATATACACCCCAAAAATAAAATCAAAAAGAGATCAGTCCCTCTTTAACGAAATCAATTGTCTTTGATATGTTATTTTTTATTTATCGTTTAAAAATTAGGAAATTGAAAATTTCAGAAATAATTAATTCGATTGGATATGTATCGTCCAGCAAAATAAATTTTTAAAGCACAACCTCTAAAATATAATAAAATATACCCCTAATCTATTTCCAGCCATAATACCACTACTATAACTACTACTACGAAAATAAAGTATTTAGAATATTAGATAAATTACCCTTCGATTCGATCACCTCTTCGTAGGCACCCCTGCTCTTAAGAAATCACTTCCCTATAGGCATCTCTACTTTCAAAAAATCCCCTCCCCGTCGGCATCCCTGCTCTTAGAAAATCACCTCCATATAGGCATATCTACTTTCAAAAAATCCCCTCCCCGTAGGCATCCCTGCTCTTAGAAAATCACCATCCCTGTAGGCACACCTAATTTTATGAAATCGAATCCGTATAGGCATCTATACTTTTAAAAAGTCACCTCCCCGTAGGCATCCCTGTTCTTAAAAAATCACCTCCCTATAGGCATATCTGCTTTCAAAAAATCTCTCCCCGTAGGCATCCCTGCTTATAGAAAATCACCTTCCCTGTAGCCATTTTTACTTTCAAAAAATCACCTCCCCGTAGGCATCCCTGCTCTTAAAAAATCACCTCCCTATAAGCATACCTACTTTCGAAAAGTCCCCTCCCCGTAGGCATCCCTGTTCTTAGAATATCACCTTCAATGTAGGCATACCTGATTTTATAAAATCGAAATAGCCATCTATACTTTTAAAAAGTCACTTCCCCGGCGGCATCCCTGCTCTCAAAAAATCACCTCTCTATAGGCATCTCTTCTCTACTTTCAATAAATCCCCTCCCCGTAGGCATTCCTTATGGGGATTCCTGCTTTTAAGAAATCACCTCCCTATAGGCATCCCAGGTTTTATAAAATCACCTCTTTGTAAGTATCCCAGCTATAAGAAGAGCATCTTAAAATGCTTTTGTTTTTTGATGGGCATTGAAATTTAAAATAAATATAATATCATTTATTAAAAATTTACATTTTTGACAAATAATTATCTGAAGAACCTATCACCAATATTTTCTTTTTAGTTGGTCTAAATTTCATTTACGGTTACAATTATGAAATTGAACTATTCATCAACTATTTACAGTTTTGTACCACTAGATGTCGTTTCATTATTCCAAATAAAAAGTGTAAATATAAATGGGAAACTAATGCATAACTCATTTCGTTCTCCGTACTAATTTCACCCGTGCGTCATTAATTTTTGAAAGAGAGAGAGTTTTAATTCAGTATGCCTTAACGACTCGATCCAACTACCTCCTACTCATTATTCGAAAGTACCTTTTCACCAGAATAGCTATATATTGCAGTGAAATTCCTTATTGCTTTTACCATCTAGGTCAGAAAACCTTAACAGCCGTTATCCACCAACACGAACAAGTACTGTACAAGCCTTGTTCAAACAGCTACATTTAATGGTCTCCTCGCGTGATCTTCTACAAATATTTCGTTTAGGATATCAACACTATCGCTGGCATGGGTAGCAAAAAAAAATATATTATATTCCACTCCCCTGTGTTGAGACTTGGGCTTAAATATGGGGATTTATGTACAAAGCCTTTTAACCGGGATTTTCTGTGTTTCCTGATTATCCGTAGACAAACAAATCGATTGCATACAACGGAATAAATGGTCTGTCACATATTTCTTTATTCCTTTTTACATTTCATGCGATCAATAGATTTGACCAGTCTAAACACTTTAAAAATAAATTTAAAAAATATTAAATTAAATGAGTTAAAAGAGAAAATCAACACGCTGTGAAAACTTACTGTTAAGAAGTATTGTCACTGTGGTTGCCAGTGCTTTTTATTGTAAAATCCATTTTTACCGTAAAATGTTACGGAACAAAAGAATCTGACATACCGTAATTTTAATAGTGATAATCACATAAAATCACTAAATCATTCTAATTAAAAAAAATACTGTAAAAAAATTACGGTATAATATTTTACGGTAAAACTGGTTTTACAGTTGATGCACCTAAAATGCCGGTACTTTATACCGTAATTTGATTCGGAATTTTTTACATTATGACAACACAAAGTATTAATTTTACAGAAGGATTTAGGTAAAACTATTTGTATATTACTAATTGTATATTACTAATTGTATATTACTAATTGTATATTACTAAATAGTACACTCTATAACAATAAAATCGACGCACCAAGAAGGAGTTGTCCGATTGAAACGAAAATTGGTGGATAGGAAGACAATGTATAGATTTGTAAATGATTAAAATTAATTTCAGAACAATTGAATAATTTATTGCAGAGTTACAGTAACAAGTTCAATAAGGTGTTGACCCGCCTCTAGCCTGGACACAAGCTGCCACACGGCGTGGCATAGACCGATAAAGCTCCCGGATGGTCTATTGCGGTATTTCCTGCCAAATTCGATCCAATTGTCGAACGAGGTCATTAACATTCCGTGCCAAATGAAATCGCAGTCATGCTCGATGGGAGAGAGATCTGGTGATCTGGCAGGTCAAGAAAGAGATTGACAAGCTTGCAGACAGTTCATAGCAACACGTGCCGTATGTGGTCTGGCATTGTCCTGCTGAAAAACCAGCCCAGGGCGCTGCAAAAGGAACAGTAGCAAAACAGGTCTTAGGATGTCGTCGACGTACCGCTGGGCAGTAAGTGTACCTCTTATGACGACCAAAGGGGTCCGCCTGTCAAAGGAAATGGCACCCCAGACCATAATGCCTTGTTGAGGGCCGGTGTGGAGTGCAACAGTGAAGACAGGATCCCCCCTCTGCCCTGTGCGTCTCCAAACACGTCTTCGATGATCGTCAGGACACAGTTGGAAGCGGGATTCGTCGCTAAAAGCTATACGTCCCCAGTCGGCATCATTCCAGTCATATCTGTTCAAAACATTCAGGCATACGAAATTTCAAAGCAATCGGGTGATTGCTTCTTGGTGCGTCGATTTTTTTGTTATAGAGTGTATATTGCTTAATTTAAAGTGCCAAAATATAAATCTAAGAAATAATAATTTTGGATCATCTATGAAGTCTAAACGAAAAGGTTCATCTAGAAAATTCAGATCTTATCCCTTGTTGAAATATATCACAAATGTTTAAAACCTACATTAACGTAAATATTGTTTAAATCCACACTTTATGGGGCTATTTGCATATTTGGAAAGCAACATATTTATTAGACATATTAATTTTGCTGAATGAGATTTATTTTTGAATAATTATTTATTATAGTGATTTCAAAACCAGAAATTTATTGTTAACAATTATTGGAATCTGATTGTTAATAGTTATTAGAAATTAATTGTTCACAGTTATTGGAAATTAACTACTGCAGCTGCCAGAATATTAAGAGTTTTTTGTAATAAATTTTATCGTAAAAATTATTTAGAAATTCATTGATAACTTTTATTAGAAATATTTTATCAGCAATTATAAGAATGATTGGCCCTTTTTTGTTCACAATTATTAGTTGTTAACTTTAATTAGGTTAAATAACAATTAAACGTTTTTTGAAATTTAAAAAAAAAAGGAAAACTTCCAAAAATTCGACTTTTTATTAATATTTACATTATTTAATGTTATATAGATATATTATTTAATATTAAGAGTTCCCGCAACAGCCCACTATGGTCCAGGGTGTTCATGGAGGTTAACACTAAACACTTTCGTGACCAACAACATAGCTGTGGCAATGTAGTCAGCACTGCGCACTGGCCGCGTTTACTTCTCAGACAAGCTGGTAGTCGATCTGAAGTTGAGTGGGCTATGTGCCGTCAATGGGGATCGAACCCCCGTTCTTTATAAATATTGAATTAAGATTAAAAAAGAGAGAAAATCTGATTTTGGTAAAAAGTTAAAAAGAAAGTAGAAAGAACTGTAATTGTTTAAAAAATCTTAGAAGGAAGTATAGAAGTTTAAAAAAAATCTAATGAAAATAAATATGTAAAATAATATATGAAGGTAAATATATATACATATGAAATATATTTTGAAATAATTTGGTTTTGAAAAAAATGGGCGCATTTATTTAAAAGTAGGTTACTATTTTTGCGTTCATAAGATAAACAATTTTTTTGAAATACATTACATTAAAAAAAAAAAGCCAGTAATAGTAATTTCTATAAAATTTCTCTCTCAACTTCAATAAAACTTCTACATCAAAAATACCATCTACATTTGAAATTCAATTTCTATTTATGAGAAGAAAAAAACTCTTTTACCTTTTGTGCTTTTCTCTTATCAGCCCTCTGGCTCTGGTGGTAAATTCGGGAAAAATTGGAGACAATAACGGGTACTGGTAGGGCAATCACCAGTACGCCGCTCAGGGAACAGATACCTCCCACGATTTTACCCGTAGGGGTGTCTGGTACCATGTCTCCGTACCTGTAATGAAGAATAAAAAAAATTAATAAAAATATAAATAATGCAAGTCTTAATAGTTTACAAGTTGCCATTAAAGGCACATGCCTGGGAGCTATTAATGACTTTCAAAGTTAATTCAGTATTTATTACAAAATTTCAATAAATAAAAATCAAAACTAAGTTTCTAAAACTAAACAATTTTATCTTTGGAACTTGGAAAACTTTATTTTTTTTAATACAAAACATTTTTTTTTCTATTCACTGAGAAAAAAAAGCATGGTCAAAAATATCAAAATAAGGAAAAAGAATTCGTGTTTCTGGCTCTATGAAAACACCGAAATTTTAGGTAATTTTAACCAAAGCACTTTGGTAATGATTTTAGCAAAATAAAAAATAAAATTTGGTTTTAAAATGTGCGAAAAAATTTAGTAAATGAGGATTATGATATCATCAATATCATGATTTTATCATGGTACTTTAGCGCATGGCATAAAATCCGTTTTTTTTTCAATTAAATTTACTTTTTAGTTTGATATTTTTTACTGAATGTGTGGTAATAAAAAATATGATTTTGAAAACCTGAATTTTTCGGTATACACAGCTACCATGTGAAAATTAGCAATTGAATGATTTAAAAACCATACGTTTAGATTTTTGTTACCAAAAAAAATGTTTTTATTTTTATATCAGAAATGTCATTAACATACAATACGTTATTTATACCAAAATTTTTTTTTCTTTGTATAGGATCTATTTATTTTTAAGGGCTAACTTTTTAATTTCAATATTGTTTTTGATTTATTTTTTTAATCCAAAAATTTTACAGAAACATACCTAATGAAATCAAATTAATCACACTTTTAAAAGAAAATATGTAATTTAAAGCTTGGCAAATACAATGAGATTGAAAAATAATGCTAAATACTAAGAAATTTAAGTTAATAAAGCATTTCTAAATACAATATATATATATATATATATATTAATNTTTTTTTTTTAAATTACGCCCGCCATCGTCTTCTCAGACATAAGGCGTCTTGCAGTCCAATACAATACTGAAGTAGCTCCAGAAGGTGAGAGGGCACAAAAGTCATCAGAGGAACGAATGTCAAGAAGAGAGGGGCAATCAAATAAATGCTCCCCAGTCACAGGCGAAGTGTTACAGAGCACACAAAGAGGTGAATTGACCAAGTTAATTTTAAATAAATGGGCCTGTAAGTAGTAGTCATGTCCAGTAATTAATCTAAGGCAAGCTTTGGTTTGCCACATTGTAAATAAATGTTCCTTACAGTTCATAATAAATAAATAATTAATTAGCTTATAAGCGTAGAATATTTTAATGAAGATTTAAGAACAGTTTTAATTTTGACAAAAAGCTTTATTCAGCAACTATTGTAACAAAATAAATTTCTGAAACATATTTTTCATATACCGTAAGAAAAATTCCAGTAAAACTGCAGTACAGTATGGTAATGACATTTCTGGTAAAATCAAAAACTGTAATTCCGGTATTAAAAACTAAAAAATACAGTATTTAAATCATTTATTCGTTAACTTTTTCCGTTCGTTACGATAACCGGGAATTCTGGTGTTCAAAATTATTGTTCTTAATACCACAGATTTAGCAAAAAATGTAAAACTGAAAAGTAAATTTAATGAAAAAATGATTTTTATGATATGCTCTAAGGTATCATGAAAAAATTTACCAAATTTTACCACATTTACCGCATTTTGTCACATATTATAAAACCTTATTTTCATGTTAATATTACCAAAATAATTTCCAAAGCTCTTTGGTAAAATTTACCGAGCTTTTTGGTGTCCCCATAGTGCCCAAAACATGGTAATTTCTACCAAATTCTGGTAGTTTTGAATTTAAAAAAAGGCTTATAAGAGGACGATTTTGTCGTAATACTTGATTCCGAAGTTCCTTTGCCTTCCGGGTTGGTTTCAAAATTATAAGGTTTAACGCTGGCAGTCGCAAATCCGACATAAATCACCAGTTGAACCACATTGATAAAATAAAATAAATAAAAGTTTCACAACAAAGATTAGGACAAATTAAGTTTTTTATATTATGGCATGCTTCATTTGAGACTTGTAAATTAATTGAAAATTAAGAATAATAAAACATCAACTTTCAAATGACTTTAAGTGTAAAATAATAAAAACTTAATTATGCTTACTTTTTATCTACAAGTAATACAATAAACTATGAAATGTAAAGCCGAGAATGAATATATACATACGTATTATATCAACTAGAATTACGTTTAAATTCAGTTTATATTAATGAGAAACTTTCAGCTCTTTTTTGTTGATAAAAATTATAAGATATATCATTAAAGTTATATTTATTAAAAAAATTGAATTAAACTTAAAAATTATAATTATAGAAAATACCAACTTTACACATTTCTTAGAATTATGGAATTTTTTCTTTTATGCAAGTATTATGGCAAAAATTCTAATTACCATAATTCTCATTTCTTGACGCAAGAATATGTTGGCAAATAGAGTAAATAAAAAAATAAATAAATTGTATAATACATTTTTTCATTTAAAGTAATTAAATCGGAAATGGAAATTTAATCAAAAGATTAAGAAATTTCTTAGATTCATCTTTTCTTCAAAGAAAACAAAATCATAATTTTAATCTTGCAAATCATTTTATGAGCGTTAACTACAATTGTTGAGCTGGGCGAATTCCAGGTTATTAAGGTAATTGAAATTCGGATCTTATTTTTATTTTTACAAAAGAGGATTTCTTGAAATGAAACTCGTTTTCAAAAACAATTTGTTTTAAAAAATTACTCTTAATATGATATTTGTAGCAGATGTTTAAGACTATGACTTATTTTTGCGTATGATAATGCGTGTACTAATGCACCATAATACTACTTTTGCCTTACTAATGCGTATGCAAATGTTAACGCTGAAGCTCGAAAACAGTTAATATGCACATTACCCAGCTGATCTGCAGATTAATTAGGGTAAAGCGTGAAAGGGCGGTTCAAGAGTTTTACCAAAGTTGTGTGTGTATAAACAATTTCAGTATTGTTAAAGTTTAAAAGTTTGTTTTTCTCATTCCATTAACTAGTTTGTTGATTGTTAGATAGTATTTATTGACTTAAAATAAATGTCATTTTTTTTATTTGAATAAATTTATTAAGTTTTAATAGTTTAAATATTTTAATTCCTCATATAACATTTTTAAAGCGATTACTGCTTCATTTTAGTAACTTATGTGTTGACTTTTTGACTGAAGTTTTTTGAATGTTTTGAAAGCGGAAAATAAATAAAAATCATTTTGTTAATTTAAGAGTACAGAAACGTTGTTTTCTTTGGGGGAAAGAATTTATTTTCACTTTCTCGAGTGCTTTTAAGTGAAATGCAGATTATCTATACTGTAAAAAATTTTGCCTTAGCGCCACAAATGTTCCAAAACACCAATAATGTTCTTTTACACTACTCGGTCTAAAGCAACAGCCGCCATTTTTTATGTATTCAGTAGTATTAAACTTTATAATTACAGCAAGATAAAACCACATAGTAGTCAGTAAATATTAATTGAGAATGCATATTTACACTAATTTTAAAAATAAAATTAGTTTGCAAATCTAACATACACGTAGCACGGAGAATTTATTAAGACGAATTTGATCTAGGCTTAACAGGACGGAAACGGACAGAAATTATACAATTATCATTTAGTATGGTTCTCAGAGATTTCAAAGAATTAAATATAATTTTCCTTATTATTCAACTAAGAACATATTTAACTGTAGACTTTTTTCTTTATTGATGAATATCAGCGTTGAACGCAAAAACAAACTCTCACCTGCTCATTCCAGATTGAAAACAAACTGCTGCCAATATTGTACTTGGCGTTTTTTGAGTTTTTCATATCGCCAACATAGGTGTTTTTGGAAGTGAAAATAATTCTAGTGTGGTGTAAAAGCGCGAGAGTTTGGTCTAAGATTATTCAGGAATTAAATTACACCCTTTAAATCGTGTATGAAGGTTCTATTTAGTGTTAAACCGAAAAAAAGATTCCTTTACGCAATTTTTTGGATCATCATATTACGCCACAATTTTTACATTGCAGGTAGTTTGCAGATTGAATTTAAGAAATAAAATATTTTTTTGGTAATTTAATAGATCACCCTAGTTAACCTGGAAACTTGCCAGATAATCTGTTGAATAAATGATATCTAATTTTTAACGGTAACATATGCATATTTTCAGAACTTAATTTAAAAAGATTTCCGTATTCACACAATCTAGATTAAAATGGGAAAGTAATCGAATAGCGTGTAAAGCGTGATCGAAATTAAATGCATCTGAAAAAAAAAAACTGCGAAAGCTCATTAAGAATAAAAGTATGGAAAAAACTACAAGAATATGGTAAAAATTACCGCGTTTCAAACTCTATGGGATCATCAAAAATACTGATAATTTTTGACGAAGTGCTTTTGTTAATAATTTTGGAAAAACTAACAATAAAATATTGTGTTATAATACGTGATAAATTTTTGAAATGCGGTAAATTTGGTAATTTCATCGTGATAGCTTAGAGTAAAGTATGAAAACATTTACTTGATGAATTTACTTCTCAATTTTGTATTTTTTACTAAATAGGAGGTAATAAGAACTATAATTGTGAAAACAAAATTTGTATTTTTTACGAAATGGGAGGTTATAAGAACTATAATTATGAAAACAAAATTTGTATATTTTACGAAATAGGAGGTTGTCCACGCCCTCATTGGCGAAATTGTAATGCGCCAAGCGTAGCTTTCTAGCGTTCTTTTTTCATTCAATAAAAAATTACCAAACGTTACAGTCCATTTGACTCTATTAGCTCCGACAGAGGTAATAAGAACTATAATTTTGAAAACAAAATTTGTATTTTTTACGAAATAGGAGGTAATAAGAACTATAATTTTGAAAACAAAAATTTCTTATAAACCGTTACCAATGAATTACTAAATGAATGGTTTGAATACCGTATGGTGGGG